AGGTGGGATGCGGTTCTCATCAAACTGCTCTGTCTGCCAGTATCAGCACCTACTGACAAGAAAAATAGGTTTTAAACATTCATGAAGCATGAGGTCTTCACAGGCGTGAGGCCTGAGTATCAGCTGGCAGTGGAATTCAGTGGAAAGGAGCCGTTTTTATGGATGATATTGTTAATACAAAAGAGAAAGCCTATGATGGCAATAAAAGCTATGATTTCAGCACACCGACTGTGTTATCTCCCCCTTAGTGTGAATGTGGATCTATTTATTTGTCTGCTAAAATATTTATGGCACCCCTCTGAAAATGAGAATAATAATGATACAGAATTAATAATATTCATAATAATGGTGGCAATATCTGTTTTTGAGCATCTGCTATATGCCGCAGTCTTTGTTACATGTTTTTTATCTACATTGTCTCTAATCCTCACAATAGCCCTGTGAGAATGTTTCCCAAACGAGGAAACAAGGGCTCAGGGAGGATATATAACTTGCTCAAAAACCTAGTTGGAGAGCGACCAACTTGGATTTGAACTAATATCTTTTTCCTCTGAAGAGCCCCACATGGGTTTTGGGATCTTTGAGACAGAAGCTATTTTAACACTATCAGAAATGGAATGGAATGAAGAATATTACTCTTTGCCATGAAGTCTCAGGTTTCTCTGGCTTTTCAGCCTGTGTTACTGAAACCTGCGTTTGAAATGCAAAAAAAAAAAGGAGAGAGGAAGGCTTCATATCTGTATCTGAAGATCCTGAATAGGCCATCCTTGCACCTTGAAAAAAGTTTCGGGACTTGGCTGTTCTCCTCCAGTCTCCCTCTTTCCTTTTGGGTCTTGAGCTTTGTATACCCTTCTCTCCCTTGCGTTTTTCTGACTCCTCCCTTTATGTTGCATAATTTTAAATTAGTCCCACTGATGCCTCTCATATTTATCTTCTCATGCCTACTGGTGGTAAGATTTTTCTCTGGGCCAGGAAAAAGAATTAGCTTTTGAGTTGAAACCCATTTCTCTCCACTCTAATCGTCTCCATCCTTAAATGTTCAACTCTTATAGAACCTCTTTGAAGAGTTTCTTATCATCCTGCTTGTCTTCTCAAATCCTGTAGCACTTTTTAGCAGCCAAATTACACTTGCTGCTTGTGCATGAAGTATTTGTGTGTGTGTATCTCTCTTCTCACTCAGTAGCTCATGATTTGAAAGATAGGAGTTGTGCTTTCTGTTGTCCCTGTACCTCACACATAGTAGATAAAAAAACACAAAAAACACTATTGAATAAAGACCCTTCTCTGTATTTCCTTTATTTATTATACCTAGCTATACTTCAGAGTTTTACACTGTCACTGCTATACCTGTAAATATGTCTCTATCTAGAGACCTGGGGCAGCAAATGAGAATCTGATCAGACTCTTGTTGTAATACTGCCTCCAGCTCCACTCAGGGTTTCTTTACCAAAATACAGGTAGCAGCACCCTCTATGAATACTGAAGAGTGATAGAGAGGTTATTCAAATCTTCAGTGTTTTGCTTTGGAATGTGTCAGAGTGGGGAACACTGAGGGAGCTTTCATTCAGGTCAGTTTCAGGTCCAGGAAATCAAACTTCTGCCTCCCCCTACTCTTGTCTCTCTCCTCACAATGTCCCAAGGCCTCAGAGTGTAGCACAGTCAGCATGTTTCTAAGGTGGAGGTCACCACACATTGGCTCTGATGGTACAGTAGGACTGACCAGCCCTGCCCTGCCTCTGGTCTAGCTGCTGATTCAGAACCATGGACAAGGCTAAATAAAGGCAGCTAGGTTTACCTTCCTTTTTCTTACCAGCTCACCTGTACTTCCTAAGGAGAAGCTGAAAACCCTCTTCTAAACAAGCCAGAGGAGGGGATCAGGTGGCAAGCCCCCTACTCCCCCCACCCCCTTGCCTTGGGGAGTCCACTCTTTGAATCATAAATCAGTCCCTATAGTTGTTTAAAGTGACCTACACAGAGAGAGTTCTTTTTTCTTGTAGAAAAGCCCTCATGCACAAACCAGGCTGACACTTGTCCACTAATTGCCTCCCACTGGAATTTAACTTATTCGCATATTGCACTTGGGCCTCGTAAATTTCAGAGGTCTTTATTGTCCTTTTACTGCATTTGGGCTTGTTCAAATCAACATTCTTGCGCGCGCGCGCGCGCGCACACACACACACACACACACACACACACACACACACACACACACAGATTTATATATGTATATAAAACAGTGTAAAAAAGCCATGATATTTTCTCCTGCCCTTGAATATGTTTTTTTAGTGTACAAATTTTTATATTCTGCCTTTAAAGCTATTTCTGCTTCACAGCTGCTTTACTGAGACTCAGACTCCTACGGGCCCCACTCAGTCCGACACGTACCTTGAATATCCTTTCACAGTGTTTGATTTCTGCAGTTGGTTGTATAATGAGGAAGGAGTGTGCAATGAGTTTGTAGATTCCTATTAACCAGGTCACCCATGAATCTATTTTCGTGCACTTCTTTATTAGAAATAGCAGGGAACATGATGGTAATATTTAAACACAACACTTATAGGAGCCTAGCTTCAAAAATACACCTAATAAGTTTTCTTTTCCCATTTGGCATTTCAAAATGTTGTACTACATTTTTCCATCATCAAAACACCTCTTCTCCACTTGAATTCTGGGATGTGAATAGAGACCATTACAAATCATAGTGAATATTTTGGATGGTCATATGGATTTGTGATTCTTTGCCCCATTTAGACCATATCTATAGTGTTTCATTCTGTCATTGGCACTGCCTTTGAAGATGGCCCATAAAGAGATAGACACAGACCAAGATGACACACAGGCCAGGGAGTAGGAGTAGATAGAAGAGAGCAGTCTTCAAACACTTAGTGAGGATATCTCATGAAAAAGGAGAGTAAAATTGTTTAGCGTTGTACCCAAAGACCGTCAGTGAGTGAAATCTGCAGTGGGCCAGATTTTGATTCAACCTAAAAAGTAACTAACAACTAGTTGCCAGACTCTGGAACAGGTCGTCTTGTGAGGTAATGAGTCTCCAGGCACCTCAGGTGTGGGATTCTAGGCTGACTGGGCTATGTGCCAGGAATGATGCGTCCAGAAAAACATGCCCACTTCAGCTTTGAGAGTCAGTGCTCCTTACTATCTGGCATCACTACTGGTACTCGGGGCATTGAAAAAACAGAGGTATGGTTGTCTCGGAGGAGCAGGAGCTATGAATCTTTTTAAATTGCTTAATACAGATGCCCTAATGGGCCATGACAGCCAAGGCCAAGGTAGACAGTGAGTTTGGAGTTGTTAAGGCAGGCATCCTTTTATTTCAGATGGATAATTTACTTATGTGGCCCAGCTATTTAGATGGTTTCAAAAATACTCAAAATGGACCACAACTTTTCATTTGGTTGTATTAATCAAGACCTGGCCAACATCTTACCAATATTAGTATATCATTAAAAGTATGGCAATAATCCCTTTCAAATGAAGGGAGTTTTACTGCTTATGTAGTACTTTGTCCTATATTACTCCTCTTGATATTTGCCACAACTCTCTAAGGAGGCAGGGAAAATATTATTTTCTCAATTTTTAGAGGAGGGAAACTGAGACCTACAGGGCTTAGTGACTCACCCAACACCAACATGGCAGGTAGCACTAGACCTGGATTGGATCTGGAGTGTGGACATTGAAATAATGCAAGCTCGGCAGTATTTATGGCCATGCCAATAATCAACAGTGTGACTTTGAACCGTCTCATATGTAAAATGAGGGGGTTGGGGTGAGGTGAATTCTGGGGTGCTCACCACATCCCTGTTGTATAATATTATCTTGCCTCTCCATATCATATGTTGTCTGGCACAGTCCTTACTTTTCGCCAGGCAAGCAGGAGGTGAAATCTGGGTTTGTGGATTGGGGAAAAACATTTTGATCCACTGGTGTGTGTATTCAGAGTGGTAACATTATACTTCAACAGCTCTAGGATACCTCTGTGACAGATCATTTTCACAAGCTTGAGACCCTTGGCTGCATTTTGATTCGGGGTTTGGAATTTGAGGACATGTTTATTTACTTTTGGGGGCTCTGTTGTGGTGTAGAGTAGTAGAGGTGGACTTTATGAATTTCAACAACCCTCAATGCACAAGAGTCAGCAGGAATGGCGAGGGCTTCATACTTGACTAGGTATAAGCTTGCAAGGAAAGTTATAGGTCAGTATGATTTTATTTTTTAATTTTCTAAGCATAGCTGTTGAACTCAAAACTAGATTTTATATTGCTTATAAGGTGCTTGACAAAGCTAACTTTTATTACTAGGAATGTAATACATATTCATTGTAGAAAATTTAAAAATAAAGAAAATTACAGAGGTAATTACCTATAGTAGCCCAAAGATAATTGCTATTAAAATTGTTAAAATTTCCTGGAATGTTTCTTATGTGCCTACACATATTTTAAAACACATTTAGCATAATACTGCAGATACTGATTTGTAAACATTTTTTGTTGATAATGGTAAACTTTCTCTTATTTTGCTAAATATTCTTTTCAAGATGGATTTGATTTGAATTTTGATTTTGGAGTCACATAGTATTCTAGTAAGTGGATGTGTCAAGATTTATTGAACCTGTTTCCTATTGTTGGGTATACTGAATGCTTATAAGATTTTGTTAATATAAAATCATTTGTGAAAATTTCCTCTTCCATAAGTCCTGTACAATGCATTAGATATGTGTCTGATTTGTCAAACAGAGAAGACTAAAGCTGGGTTTCTATTTTACAGCACCAGCAACCCTACTGGGCTTTTATAAGAAAAGTATAAACTCTACACTGACCATAGTTAATCGATATGGTAATACCAAAGGTTTAGGGAGAGCTCCTCCACTGCTACCATCATCGGATCTGTTATTCCGCTCTTGGCTTTTTCATGCAGTTAATGACTTGCATAAACATCAAGGCAGTGGGCTCATTTTCTTTTCTTTTCTGTTGATTCTCCTTTAGCCTGATGAAGTCCTCCGACATCGATCAGGATTTATTTACAGACAGTTACTGCAAGGTGTGCAGTGCACAACTGATATCCGAATCTCAGCGCGTGGCCCATTACGAGGTAAGGACAGCTGTCCCCACTCAGTGTTTTTATTTATTTATTTATTTTCCCAAGATATTTCTCCATTTGTTTAGGCCTTTGATTTCTCTCATTGGTGTCTTATAGTTTTCAATATACAGATTCTGCACATATTTTGTTAGACTTGTACCTCAGCATTTCATTTATTCGATGCTATTGTAAATAACATTGTAAGACTTCTATTTGTTCATTGTTAGTATATAGAAATACGTTTTTAAATGGAAGACAGAGTAGCCATGGGTTGTGGGCGTAGGACTTGAGGGTCCCCTTTTCTGGGCTTGGGGCAGATTTTAAGACGTACAGGGCTCGAGCCTTTATAGTCTGAGCTCAAACCAGGAGAAATGTATGTGTGGGGCTGGGAGTGAGGGCTGGGGACATCCTTTGCAGGCCCTGCCTGCTTCCCAGATTCTGTTCTTTGTACCTTGGCCCATTGACTCAGCGGGCTTTCTCTGCTTGTTAAATCTGTCACTGCTCACCCCTGAAGTTCCTGTCAAAGACACAGGGCAGGATATACTACCAGCTATTCTTTTCTTCCATGACCCTGAAGCTAAGCTCAGAGGCCCTTTGCTCCTCACTGTAGGGAAACATGGCGGCATCAGTGAGTGATTCAGTACCAAATTCCCTCCACCTGATGGCTGCTGCCCTAAAGGTGTTCCTCAGCTTAAAGACTTCCCCTGCAGAATTATAACAAAGTTTTAAAGCCCAAATACTCTTGAAGGACATAATTCAGTGACGTTGGCTCTTTAGGATGGAAGAACAAAATGGCTGCTTCTTGGGCCTCTATTAGGAAGGAAGGGTGAGAAAAGAGAGGTTGGCTAGTGTCTGAGGAGGGAACAAGGTTCAATGCATGGAAAAAGGGGAAAGCTGGGGGACCCCAGATGCTGAGTGCTGCCCAGGGCATGTTTGCTTTTCAAGAGAACATACACCAGTGGGAACATGAGTTTTCAAGTGTAATAACTTGTAAGTAATTTTAGATTGGGGAGCTTAGCCAGCAATTTTCTTTTTGTCTGACAAGTCTGACAAATGCCAGTTGTCACTGTCACTCACCAAACTCCTCTGAGCCTCAGATTCCTCTGTGCACAATGAACATAATAATAATAACATGCTCATGTACACACCCAGAATCACAATAAACTGACCCTGCGTATTCCTCAGGATTTTGTGGTGACTAAATGAGACCTATTGAAATAGTATCTGTGAAAATGCTTTGGAACCTGTAAAGTATGCCTCACGTGCAAAATGATATTGCTTTTCATTATTAATTCTGTTGTAGCAATTTTTTGTTGAAGGCAAATAAAACTTGTTCTTCAAAGAAAACTAAAAAATCAGCATCTGTGCAAAATGTTAGTATATTTTTTTGTCAATAGACAATTGGATATTAGAAGTAAATGGAAACTCAAAAGAATTACCTAAAATAGAAGATATCTATGTTTTGAAATTAAGAACTTTCTATTTTCTGTGGACATTGATTTATAAACACATATGGTTTTTAGTCATTGAATTTCCCCAGTTAAGGAAAATCAGGGAATTTGTTCTTGCTTTGAGATTCTATAACTTCCTATTAGTCCTTTAGGTTCCCCCTTTACTAGACTTTTTATGTTCATTTTTAATCATTTTACTAGATTCTTGAGGACAGAAACAGAGTTTTATTCATTTGATCTTCCACAGTTCCTGGAACAGTGCCTGTACATCATAGATGCTCAGTTAGTGTTTACAAAAATATCCTGGTGACAAAGTCCAGTGCTGCTTTGTTGTTACCTGAGCTAGGAAAGTAATGTCAGAAAATTGACAACAACAAAGAAAAAAAAATCTTAGCTGCTCAATTAAGGATTTAGTTATTTGAACTCCCGTTTCTTGTCACTACATATATTCTTGCTGTGGCACAATTTTATTGGTTAGAGGATGTGTTAGTCTTTGCAGCATGTAGTATAGATGAGATAGAGAAAAGAAAGCAATTACAATAGATCTGCAATTAACAGTGTTACACATCATTAAAACAACATTAAATGCCTTCCCATTAACCATGGATGGGAACACTGAAAGATGTTTTCCTCCTTGCCTCTAGGCAGAGGTGGGGCACTTCCTTCATTGAAAAATAGCACTTGTTACTGCAAAGCTGTGGTGAGTGTGCAAAGGGCACAGTAAGGACTGAGGCCACCTGATTCAATCCCTGGTCTTCCAGCTTCTGCGAGGAGTCTTCTCCAGTACTTCTTCATCTCTAGGATGATGGCTTCCATCAGACAATCTCGAAGGCCATTGGAGAACTGATACTCTGATTCTATTAATCTCTCCCCTCTCTCCACACACATCCTCTCTGCTAAAATTGCACATCGAGTGGGTCTCTATGAGTTCAAAGTCCCACTGAAATCATGGAAAATGTCGCACTTATTCTCAATGCTCTATCACTGATTTATTGCCTTAGTATGGTTTTACTCTTCAGTTCAACCAGATAATATTCCTAGCTTCCCTATGGAGCAAATCAATGACAATCGACTGTGCACTTTCTGCATGTCCAGCACTATTAGTGCTAGTTATTGCAGGGGATTCTTGAGCTAAATGAGAAATAGTCTCAGCCTCCAAGAAGCTTATAAACTTTATTGGAAGGAAAAGCCATGGATAGTTCAGTGTGGTACAATATGCGTGTGATACTGAGAACATCATCTGTAGAATTCTGCTGCCTGCTCTTCAGGAGCTGCTGATCTAATTCAATACAAACAGAGTATTAGTTCTTCTGCCCAATTGGCTTTCTGATATATGCTACATCATGCTGTTAACTTTTTAGATATTTGCATATTCTAAGTTCCAAAGAATGAGTCATTACCAAGAGCTCTTCTGGTCAAGAAAGATTTCTGGGGAATGTCAGACATTTTCTAGGCCTCAATGGATGGGTTAAGTTTAGGGGGTGCTGCCAAGGAGCCTTGAGGAGGCTCAGCTGGCTGGACTGGGAGATTGGCATAGGGAAGGGAGCCCAGAAGGCGCATGTACAGGTAGACTGGGGTCAGGGCATGAAGAAAAGGAGATTTGGGATTCTTGTGAGTCTCTTAAGCATGTGGGAGCATAACAGTATCATCGAGCATTTCTGAATGACCGTTCATTGGTGGTGGGCAAAGCATAGTGTTGGGACCAGAACAACTTTTGATCTGACTTGTGCCATGAGACTAGTGTGGCAGTCCTCTGAAGTAAGAGAGAAAAACACAGCAGATGGGTGAATGCATAACAGCTGCATGTCCCATTTTAAAGGTCGAACTTTCATATAGGAGGACAGAAAAAAGCCCAATATATGTCTAATGGGCCAAACCCTTCCATGCTATACTTTTAAAATCTTTTTTTTCTTTCTTTCTTTTTTGGCATATGAATCCTGAGGTGAAAAAAAAAAGGGGGGGGGATGTAAGGGCATTATTATTTTTCTTACTAAGCATTAATAACATGTTAATGTTTTGGTGGAAAGTATAATTAGATGTTATCTCTGCTCACTGAATGAGTAGTCTGAATTAATAGAACAAGCAGACACAGACACAGAGGGGAAGGGCAAGTTTTGATATGAGAGTGCCTGAATGTGACAGAGGTCAAGAATAGTTTCCCAGGGAGGCCAATTGAGTAGTCTGCTATAGTTTTAAGTGGCAAAAGAATAATTTTGTGCAAAGGGCAAGAGTTGCTTGCATGAGTGAAAGTGAGTTTTTGGCATGTAGGAAAAGGAAGATTTGTATAGGGAAGATCATGAGAAAGGAAACCAAAAGAACAGAGAGATATTTTTCATTTAAAATTTTGAGTGAAGGTAAAGGTCAATGAGCAGATCTAGAAGGAAATAGAGACTGTTAGACAGGCCCAAGGAAGCCAGCCATAAATGTGCCAACCCTTCCTGCTGGCCTCTTCCTGTGAACCCTACTATCCCTTGTGTTGTTGTGCAATGTGTGCAATTAATTGTTCTTTGTGAAATTATTGGCTCAGGTGTCTTGGCACCTCCAAACAAGACTGGAAGCTTCCTGAGGGCAGGCAGGAGTCATGCATTGAGTTTCTTCATTTATTTCCACAGTAGCCACCACAGATAGAGCTTTGTGCATGGCTGTTGCTCATTGGCACTTAGAGGCTGATGAAGAGCCTCGGGGTGGGGATGGAGGAGGAAGGCATGGGTTAAAGTTAATGGAAGCACTGATGGGTGTACCAGAAGGGGCATTGGTAGACACTGGGAGTCAATCTGTACTTGGGAGCTGGCCTTCAAGGAATAAGTGATGGTTTCGTAGTTATAGGAAAACAATTCTCTAAACTGGTAAGAAATCCTTCAAACATCTCTGAACCTTGAAGTAATGTCAGTCCTGGTAAACGAACCTCATTAGCCCACCAGGGAAGGGCAGCATCTGGTATTGTTCTCTTGTCAGTGTAACAGCCGGCACATTGGGCCTACATAGGCATGCTGAAATAGAATTTTCCTCTTTTATTTGTTTTGACTACATTCCAAAAGAACTTTGGCCTTCGCTAGCTTTCTTTTTAATCCAAGGGAATAGCCAAAAAGGCACTCTCCTGGTCTTGTTAAGTCTAATAGTAGATGGGGTAGAAGTACTTTTTGAGTAGTGACAAGGTGAAAATTCAGGTCCTTAATATGTGCTGATTAAAGTGTCATGACTTTCTGGTACTTTAAAGCCTTCTTCCTCTTAGTACCCTACACCTTCTTCTCAACTTTGCTTTTTGTTTTTAGCTTTTATAACTGCCCTGAGTAAGCATGCATGCTAGACAACTCCTTTCCCATGTATGTGAGTTGTGGATTAAAAGCATGTCATATTTCTGCAGGCCATCAGTCCTGCCAGGTACTATATACTCACTGGAGCTGGGTATTGTCAGGCCTCACTGGGTCCATACCTGTTCTGGGTATGGAAGATGATGTGCTCCTGAAGATGCAAGTACTAATGGGTGAGGATAAGAAAAGATCTTTATAGCAGGATTCCTGTAAAAATACCTTCTTTGCAGTGTACATTAAAAATTACTGT